CATTTAAAAAACAATCACTCCTTATGAAATCCCGACTAGTGAGGATAGGGGTGACGGGAATACTTGAAAATAGTAGCATTTAATAAATTAATATACAATGACAAATCTTTTACCAAAGAAAGTGACGATTTGTTACAAGAAAGTGCTTGTGACCTTAAATGTATAACAAATCGTATTCATCGTGGATTTAGAAGTCTGTGTATGTACATTTGATTTAGAAATAAAGGTTAACTTTGGACATTATTTTTCCTGTTTGTAGTGTACCAACCCTAATAAATATATAGGAGTAAAATTTGTTTCAGCCTAAGATGGTTAAATTAGAATATATTTCACAAGAATTGGCTCTACAAAAATGAGTCTCCTTATTGATAGATAAGGCCTAAGGATATAGTATGTTAGTTGGGTAACTGAAAAATATAAATGCAAAGCTTCAGCGGCATGATTTGTAGTTCTCTATTTGTATATTCAAGGATTGATTATGCGATTCATTTTCATTTGTTTTGTAGTGTGTTGGAACCAAGTTCCCTTCATCGTGCTGTGTACCCAGTGTTGACATCATATGCTACTCCAGATAAACAAGCATATCCTCGCCATTCATTGAGTCGTGCTGCACTGATTACCAGTGGCAGTCCGATATTTTTCCTTGATGCATTTACAATTCTGATTGTGTTTTATTCTTCGACTGCAGACCCATCACTTCCTTTTCCTCCACCTCATGATTGTAAGCCTTCTCTTTTTTTCTTTTTTTCTGCACTGGATTAGTTGGTAGAAATATAACATGTGTTCCACCTAAATTTTATGCAACATTACCTTTCAGGTTTGTTAAGGACTACAATCAACAAATTGAAGAAAGAGAGATGCATCACTCCCAAACTCATTTTTATTCGAGGAGGGCAGGATGATGCCTCTATTTTTGAGAACTTTTTGATTGAAGAGCAGGATGTTGATGGAAGTGGTCTTACAAGTGTGATGGGTTTTGTTTCCTTCCTCGAAGATATTACTCAGAAAGTTTTAGAATTCATGAAATAGAGATCCTTTTGGGGTACAATGTCTATTTACAGATACAGAAAAATATATACATTAAGGGTGCTTCCATTTTTGTAAGGATAGGTTGAAGTTCGTTAAGAATCAACCATAGAGTCAAGCTGTGGTTGGTTGCCTTTGTTTGTTGTACCTGTTTTATATCCGTGACCCCTTTTGAAGTTTTGAAGTGCTAGTCAATGTACATTATGATATTATCTCTTCTTCTTTTTATGTAACCCTTTTCTTTTGTATGTACGGAGTTATCAAAGCTGGTGATCTATATTGACACTGACTACTCATTCGTTTGTAATCTTCAAGATACAGTCTATTGACCAATATGGAAAGAAAAATTATCAACGTCCGAGGAGTTACTAAGGAAAGATAAGAGTCTGCTATTATCCTTACTGAAGACAAGCTAGAAGCTAATTTGTAGAGGCTTGTATTCTCAATACATCTCTTCACTTTATCATCCAAATCCCTTGCATTAGGTTATCAATGTGATCCATTCCTCCATTAACGGAAATAGGATTAGCCGCAGTCATATGTAAGTCTGACATTGCAAACAAATAAGTAGAGTTATTGTCAATATGATAATCCATATTAACCCTTTATAGAACCTTTTTTCTTCTTCTTCTATGTAGTTATATAATTTCTAGCGTATCTTGATACTAACGAAGCATTTTAGGAACTGGTTGGTAATTACAGCACGAGAATCAAACAAATAGATTGCTTAGTTAAATTCAAACGCTTTTCCTCGTGAATATTGGAGTTCAAGTCTCTGTACCTTGGTTGAACTTTAAATGTCTCTCCGTCAAGAGATTTAGGTTTTCGTGAATAAAAATATTCATTTGATGAGTTTATTTTTATTTGAGTTAGTTTGACTTGAAGAATGTTAGAGAGAGAGAGAGAGAGAAGTTGACGTTTAGGTTGACTCGTTGAGTATGAATTCAAACCAACTTAGCTAATGTAAATTCTTAATTTTAGTATCACCAAAATAAAAATTGTAAAATGAGATATTGTGGTTTAATTTATCACAAATTACAGTTAATGGGTTGAGTTTGTTCAGATAAACTTGATAAACAAATGATATTGGTTTTTGAAAGTACTTAAAGGTTATACTAAATTACATTTCAATTCTGTTTTGGATGGCTCTAACCAGTTGGCTCATTAAGGCAGGCCCAAATCTCTTACTCCCATCCATGTCAGCCTTGCTGACCAAGGGTTATAAACCCTCCTTCCTTTCTGTCCCCACATGACAGTGTCCCCAACGTAAGATACCAAAATATCCTATGTTGGGATGCTATCTCCCTCGAATAGCCCTCCCAGACCCCTAAATAGGTGCTTTCTCTCCACAACTATAGCAGCAACAACTGCCACTAGCATAGCAGGAACCACATTGTTGTTGCAGCAGCAATACCAGGCGCCCATGACACTTCCCAAGGAGAGTTGACATGACTTTCCCTCTCATGCTAGTAAGGCATCTTCTCCCCTATAAATAACTCCTCTATCACCAAGCAAGGGATCTAATCTTTTATGTGTCGTTATCCTGCCAATTTCACGAGCCTTCTCTGCAACTTAATACACCCCCCCTCCACTTACATTGTCGGACCTCATACCTAGGACGTCATTGCCCAGCTTGGTTTTTACCTCTACTAGCAACGATACCCCTATAGTGACCTCTATCCCTTCTAAGGATACATATTGGGTTTGCAGCTCTTAACAGTACAAATTCAATTCTAGTTGAACTAAAAACACAAAATTTGTTGAAAGTTGTAAGATTCAACAAATTCCAAATTTATCTACTTCATAGAAATGGCTCAAGCAAATAGCTCTTACTTAAGTAATAAATCCAACTAGAACTAATCAGGTAGCTTAGTGTTCTTGACCAGATATACTAGTCCAACATATTGAGCTGGCTTACGAAGCTCATATAAAGGGTTACACCTCTATTTTTACGGTGAGATTTGTGGACCCTTATTGTAGAGAATCTCATTCCCTTGCATAGAACATCTCGCACCTCATGCATTAAGTGAGTGTGTTTGCCTCACATATAGTGTGGCTCACAAGAGCAAAACGATTATACTCATCATTGGGGAATTTTCTCTTTCTATTTATACCCCTCTTCAAACATAGAGGGAACAACTTTTGCACACTATTTCCAGAACTGTTAGTCTCTTAAATACTGATCTGGACCTAACTTATGCGAGATAGAGGCTCAAACCAATAAAGGTCCATATGGCCTAAGAACCATCAAACTTGACCAGCAAGGCAACTCATCCCACGTACAAACAGTGGGAAATCTCGCTTGCTTGACTGATAAGCCAAAATGACTTAATGTGAAAGAAAACATCATTACCAAGATTAGCAGTTCAGACAACTTGACAACCCTTTGAACCTAGTAAATGAATGACAACATCAGCTAGCCACCACATCTACAAAGATTAGCCTAGCCATAGGCTTCAGAACCAAGGAATGACCTGTGAAAGGCCACCCTCCTACACCAATGAAAATGAACAACGCCTTATGAAAGGCGACATAAAACAAGACATTCTACACTATAAATACAAAGGCATTCAACCCAGGTAAGAGATCTCTCTTTGAATACTTGAACCATATTGAATATTAAACTGACTTAAGCGTCGAAGTGCCTTGCAGGTACCCACCCCACTAGTCACCTCCAAACTACTCAAACATCAATCTCGCAACTTCTCATCTCAACAAACAACCCAACATCTCGGCAAGACTCTATTCAACCTTTTTTCTCTTCATCAACATTCTTCATCCTCAACCATACGTGACAGACCCAGCTCAATATTTATTGTACTTATTGAATTCTTTCCTCATAAACTATCATGCCTAACACATTCCTGGGTGATTCTCAACCTTCGCTTGAGCATTATTTATGATGACTCTTCATTGAGTTTAGAATTCATATCTCTGCCTCACTTCATTAAGTAAAACAGTCCCATTTTCATCACTCAATAGTTTCACTTAGTTAATTTGATACAATTTGATTAACATATAATCTATTATACCTATATGACATCATGATGATATTGGATAAGTCTTTTCTTTCTATTCACACATACTTTTTTTTTTTTTTTTTGAAAATATTCCAATCGATTCATTGTTTCGCAACTAATCCGATTCGGGGCGGGTCCAAGATTAAGGCTTTAAACCCCTTCCAAAGATGGTACTGGGGGAGATTCGAACACATGCTCTCACCCCCACCTGTTTAGCTCCCATGCGCCAACTGAGCTACCACCATTTGGTTCACACATACTTTTTTGTTAGAGGATATTACATTCGATTTTTTTTATCCTATTAATTTTAATTATAAAATTCGTACAAAAAAATAAATTAAAGTTAGTTACCTATAAATTATCTATTCATTAATTGTTTTTCACAAAGCACAAACCCATACCTACCCTTATGGTTATGATGATAACCCGGATATTGAATTATTGATTTAATCAATTTTTGAAAAAGACGTTGGATTATTTTGTGATCACCCTCAAGCATATTTTTAGCGTCACAGAAATAGGTATTTTTTTTTACTAAAAATAATAAAATAGGACTCAAATGTTATTAATCATAAAAGAATACATGAAATAAATAAAATCAAGGGAAAAGTATTTATTATTTTAAATATTTTTTTTTCTTCTAATTTTAACAATGATGTAATAGTTATTCAGTACAGGAATATTAAAGATATTTTCGACATCGAACCACGTATGTTTCTAGACATGGCTCGTTGGTTCTGACCTGGATTTTCAGCTTCTTTTTTTTTTTTTTTTTTAATATGTTACTGAAAGAATCTAATGGTCCCATTTACCACAACCACAATATCCTCTTACTCAGAGACTTCTTTATCGATGCCTTGGATGGAGAATATGGAAACGACTTGTCGTATAGCATGATGTCCAAAAACATATATCTAAAACTCCAATTTACGGCGGCACCAAAGTTAGCTTCTGTGCGAATCAGTGAGGCAGGAATCTAGGGTTCGTTATCAAAATTAAAAGTTCTTCGAGGTTCCCCTTAATTTCGTTATCATACCTGAAATTTTCGATCGATATCGATAGTGCTGTGTTCCCTTTTTCTCCCTTTTCGCTCAATTTGCATTGCGTAGCTTCAATCATTTACCTTGCATTGCGTAGCTTCAATCATTTACCTTGAGGTACTCTCTCTCTCTCTCTCTCTCTCTCTCTTAAATTCTGCATAACAGAAAGGATTTGGCTTTCAATCATTTACCACAGTGTTCTTCTCTTTGTTGTGTGTGTAGGCAAGTTGGATAGATGGATTTTTTTTTTCTTTATTTTTAATTTTTTTGTTTTTTTCTTCTTCTGAAATTTGATGTATGGTGGTTACGGTTGCCTTAGTGGTTAGCTAGTAGAAGTGTATAACAAAGCCTATCTCAGTGCGTATCTGTAAATTTGTGGCAGGAAGGTGCACAGATTGGTACATTTTGTTTGGAAACTGCCATTATTTTTTCTGAGATTGGACACGTCATGATTCTCCTTTTTGTTCTGCCATCTCATTCCTTTAATGCCTAATTGACTCTTAACTTTTAACTTTGTTTGTTCACCTTGCATTTGAGTGGAAACTTTTCATATTTATTACATTTCATGCTCCTGCAATTCTGGATTTTCTTGAGGGGCTTTGTCCTCTCCATTTGATTTTATGTTATATAAGAGCTTGTGCTCTTCAACATGCCTTTTGAACTCGGATCCCTTTCATCACCTTCATTGTCTCGTTTTGAGAATCTTTTTGTGACTTGGCTGTCAATGCTGCTAATTATTTTATCATTGCCCCTTTAGTAAAAGTCTTTCGCATTGCGGCCGTATAACTATAAGTCTTATCTCATTGCACTGGTTCCACTGAGATTCATTCGCTGCGACTCCTTTTTTGGCCTTTCTTTTTGTTTCCTCCTTTCGATATGTGTATACTTCTTCCCAGGAATTCTTCTGGCCTCTGTGCCTTCTTCACAGTTGCCTCACAAGCTTGTTTAATTAATTTCGTAAGATGCCAAGGGGAAAGAGAAATTCTTCATCAGTTGCTAAGCCATCTGAGCCTGAAAAGGCAGTTGAATCTGATGAGAAGGTCGATTTCGATGAGGAAAATGATCCCGAGGAAGCAATGGAAGAAGAAATTGAATATGAAGAAGTAGAGGAAGAAGAGGAAGTGGAAGAAATAGAAGAGGAGGTGGAAGAGGTGGAAGAAGAGGAGGAGGAGGACCCAGAGGAGGTAGAGGTAGAGGAAGAGGAAGAGGAGGAGGAGGAGGAGGAGGAGGATGAGGAGGAAGTTGAAGAAGTGGAAGAAGATGATGCCATGCAAAACCGTAGCAGTGATGAGACCATGGTGGAAGATGAGGATGAGAAGAAAAAGCATGCTGAACTTCTTTCTCTTCCTCCTCATGGATCTGAAGTATACATTGGTGGCATTCCTCATGATGCCTCAAATGAGGATTTGAAAGCTTTTTGTGAACGTATTGGAGAAGTTACGGAGGTAAGCCTGTACCGTCTTTATTGTCCTGTGCTTATACTTGTATATACAATATGACCCGTTAACTTGAAGTTTGATGAAAACAGGTTCGAGTAATGAAAGCAAAAGATTCTTCTGAGAATAAGGGATTTGGTTTTGTGACTTTTAGAAACGTTGAATTGGCTTCAAAAGCCATTGAGGAGCTGAATAATACAGAATTTAAGGTAATATGATAGTCTCAGTCATTATGCATTCATAGCTAATTCTCCTTGTAATTTGTTGGCTTTGCAACTCTATTATTACAAACTTTGCTGATGCATAATGCAGAAAACGTTATTCTTAATGCAATTTGGCTTACGTTCAATGCTTGACTGTATCAATGATCAATTGTCTCAGGGTAAAAAAATAAAATGTTCAACATCTCAAGCAAAACACCGTCTTTTTATTGGCAATGTTCCCAGAAGCTGGGGTGAGGAAGATCTGAGGAAGATTGTAACTGAGATTGGACCTGGAGTTACTGCTGTAGAACTGGTCAAGGTATGTATTATGCTGTTGTGATTCCATTCCACTTTTAAGTAAAAGTACCTAGCGATTATTTGTTACCATCATGCCTTAATCATCATAAAGTTGTTTATTACAATCATTCGTAAATTGCATTTGCATCATGCACAACTGCAATTACATGGAGTTAGCATTGTGGTATTCTTATTTAACTGCACTTGTGTTTATTTTTTTTTCGTTGCAGGATATGAAGAATATAAACAATAACCGTGGATTTGCTTTTGTCGACTATTATAATCATGGATGTGCTGAATATTCAAGGCAAAAGATGACGAGCCCAACATTTAAGCTAGGTGACAATGCTCCAACAGTGAGCTGGGCTGACCCTAAAAATGCTGATTCCTCTGCTTCATCTCAGGTTTTGACTCATATGCCTTCCTTATTTTAAGCCCAGTTATTAATTGATAGTTATGGTTAATGTGACTCGTAATGTTTATTATAATAAGAAGTCTGCAATTATGATGGAGCCATCAATGTATTTTACATCACTGTCCTTGTGTGCAAGTGCTGCTTGCTAGATTTTTAAAGTATTGTTTATAATGAAAATTCTGCCGAATCGTTAAACTAAGTGGAACAGATTGGTTTGTTTCTGGGAAATTCAAACTTCTGGGCTCTGCTTGCTTTTGGAAAATAAGTAAATAACTCCTGCATTCTTTTTCTCATTTGTCAATCATTAATTTCTAAAATTTCTTCATGATTAAATGGAAATTAAATATCTTCTAGGTGAAAACTTATTTCAAACATAGTGAAGCCACCAAATTATAACCTACTTGGAGCTGTCCCCATGACCACTACCCATGGTCTCAAGTGTAGCTAGCGTTCATTCATTGGCTGGTGTGTTTTTATAGAACAACATCAACACTACCTTTATCTCAAACTAGTTGGGAGGGTTTTTATAGAATAAGTAAAGAATTAATATTAGTAAAAGAAAATAGTATAATGGAAGAGGAGACTAAGGGCCTGTTTGAGTTCTATTTTCAAAAACAGTTTTTTAATTTTCAGAATTAAAAAACAAAAAAACTTGTTTGATAATGCCTGTTTTGTAAAAATTTCTAAAATGTTATTTCTGTTTTTAAGTTTTTCAAATCAAATTTAGAGAACATATTTCAATTGTTTCTGTTTTGTGTTTTGACTTAAAACTCTGAAAACGAAAAACAAAAAACGCAGAAAACACTCATTTCATGACTACTCTACGAAATAGTTTTAAGAACAAAAAAAAACAAAACACATTCAAACAGGCCCTAAGAAACCCTGATTGGCATAGGCTCGAAACAAAAGCGGAAATAACAGATGGACAAGTTAAAACAGTATAGCTCTCCTATCCCTTTGCATATCTGTTAGGGACATGTCCTTTAAAAAACCCAAGAAGGCTCTGCCAAAATAACTGTGAAACAATTGATATGCATTAATGCCAGCAAATCCCCTCTTATTCATATTAACCTTAAACCTGAAACCTTCTCAGACAGCTTAAGAATAAAATGAACATTTTTTATGACAATAAACTGGTGGATAAGTGGCTGAAAGTTGAAACTAGAAAATGAAGCTAATGGCTGGCCAGAAAACTTGGAAATGAGGCAATTTGTGGCAGTCCTTTGTGAAGTGGATGTCTGATGTAACTTCATGTGCCATCATTTGACTAGGAGTTCTTTTGCAATACTCCAGGCCCTAACAGATGAGCACGTGCTGATTCCGATGGTGGCTTCAGTTTGTTGGTTGGGGACTGGGATGGTGGAGGCCTGGAGATTGCTGCTACAGTAGAGAGGGATCACAGCCACTAATCTTGGCTGGGTTGTAGCCATGGTGGGCAAGGAAAAGTATGCTGGAGATTGCAGCTACAGTAAGGTGGAAAAACTAGGATTCCGGTGGCCAGAGCCAGTGCACAGCCAATGAGAAGAGATTCACTGGACAGAGACACTGTGGGAGAGGAGTTCCAGGCTTTGGGAACTTGGCAGCATAATAGTGACAGGATACACTCATCAAATAGCATTACTTTGATAATTGAAAGAGTGCGAGAAATTGTGTGAGAAATTGTGTGTGGGAGAGTGTGTGTTTAGCTTAGACATAGTCCATCTTATCTATACCATGAGTGCATTAAGTAGTGAGTACAAGAGCTAATCAAGGGATAACTATAGGACTAATTAACAGTTATTAACTACATTGATAACTATAGTTGACTAATATCCTAGTATGTGCTAGTTATGCTAATGAATGTTGAAACTGAATCTTTAGCTTACAAAGAATCTATCTAACATGTTTTATGAACAAGAGCTAATTATCAGCTATTAACTACATTACTTCAGTCATTATTATAGATGACTAATTTTCTAACATGCGCTAAATATGTTACTTAATCTAGACTACTCTTTTACTATATCTAGACTAGTATCCTAATAGATTTTGTCCTAGATGCATTACTCTGTAGTCTGTGCACATTGAATATAGTGAATTCTTATGCATGCATGAACAGGTGAAGGCAGTATATGTGAAGAACCTTCCTAAGAATGTCACTCAAGAGCAGTTGAAGAAGCTTTTTGAACACCATGGGAAGATCACAAAGGTGGTTCTTCCACCAGCAAAGTCTGGACAGGAAAAGAACAGAATTGGTTTTGTACATTTTTCAGATAGGTCAAATGCTATGAAAGCACTAAAAAACACTGAAAGATATGAATTAGAAGGTAACATTGGAATTTATTAATTTTCCATATTTTTGTACATATGTAAAGGTTGGTCAATATTGATTAGGTTTGTTCGAAGTTTCAGGTCAAATTTTAGAGTGCTCTCTAGCAAAACCACAGGCTGATCAAAAGTCTGGAGGATCAAATACACAGAAGCCAGGATTGCTTTCAAGCTATCCTCCACGTGCTGGTTATGGTTTGGTTGGGGGTCCTTATGGTGCACTTGGTGCGGGATATGGTGCTCCAGGTCTTGCACAGGTGACGTGTGCATTTCTGTTGCCATTATATATTCTTTAGCTTGTTTCCAAACACGAAATTGTTCTTGTATGGTCTCATTTTGTGTTAACATAAATCATTAGGTTGATGCTAAGTAATGACGTTATAAAGCTCTACTAACTTGGAAAGAATTGAAAGCCTTATAGCATTGCATACCACTTGTACATGTTCAATATATTTTAAATTTCATTAGAAATCACGTGTACTAGGCATATCAGTATATTGCTATTTGAAGTGTATTTACATGCCAGGTGATGTACTGTTGTAAATATAAAAGGAATAATTGTTGTTGATTTTTTTTTTCCTTTTATAAGACAGATTATAGGGCAGACTTGTTTCTTATTTGTTTCCCTTGAATTAGGTCTTTATTAGCATCCGTTTGTATATCGTTACACTTTGTACATGAATAATCAAGCAATAATATTCAATATTTCACATTTCAACTTCTATGTACTATATGCCATTGATTTATTCTCACATTCACAATCTTCTAATCTGAGATTCTTGTATCTTTTGCAGCCCTTGATATATGGAACGGGTCAAACTCCAGCTGGAATGGCCATGATGCCTATGCTTCTGGCTGATGGACGGATTGGATATGTCTTGTAAGTAGAACTGCTAATCATAGATCAATATGTTATGTGTATAGCAGGTTATATCATGACATTTGGTAGATTGCAGATATTGTTGCAATGATGTTTTATATTCTAAAGAAAAACAATTTCCAATGGCTTTATGTAACTCCTTAGCTGTCTGAATCCAGAGCCTAAAAATTCATTTATTATGCAGGCAACAACCAGGAATGCAGCCACAAATTCCATCCTCACATCAGAGAGGTGGCAGAAGTGGTGGTGGCGGGAGCAATAGCAGGAATTCTGGCAGTTCAGGTAAGGGAAGGCACAACAATGATAGTGGCCAAGGGCGCAGATACCGCCCATATTAGCTTGTCTTGATGTAGATGGGAACGTTATACTGGCACCATCTTCTCTCAAAGTGTCTAGTTGATTTTGTGGCTATACAAGCTCGTTTAATTCATCGAAGTATGCTACCAATTTTTTTTTTTTTTTACATTAAATATTTATTCTGTTCATTCAGTCTTGATTACATAGATGCAGTGTTTAAAAATCCGGCTCGGGCCATTGACTAGGCCGAGGTCAGGGGTCACGGGTTTAATTGGGGGGTCATGAGGTCATTTTGCTAACCCGGTTTTATACATTAAAAAAATATAAATATATATTCTATATATCATAAAAAATTCATGATATACTTAATATAATTCAATTAATTACATCCTCAAGTTAATATTTACAAGCTAATCAACATATTCCAATGGAGTTAATGAAAAGTTATATCGTCAAACTCAGGTCCCTTGTCCTTTTCATGCGCTTATAACAGTATGTGAAATGAGATCTCTTATAGGATAGAAAATAGTAGAGGAGAGGCGGCGATACGACAAATTAACGGTGGGGAGAGAAGAATCAACACGGTGGAGATTACTGGAACAAGGAGACTGAGTCTGGGTATGGAAGAGAAGATCAAAAGAGAAGAAGAACGATTCAGATTTCAGATCTAGTACTAAATCTAGGCAATGAGTTTTTATTTTATTTTTTTACACATCAAACGATGTCATTTCGTGTATAATTTATTTATTTTTTTAAAAAAAATGCAGTGATCCCTTTGATCCCTGACTCGGGAGTTATGGGTTCAATCAGGGGTTTCGGGGGTAAGAGGAGTCAACGAGCAAGTAGGATCTAATTATTAACTCGAATCTTCGGAGAGGTCAATGACTCGGCGGGGTCGACTTTAGAGGGGCGGGGTCGGCATTGGAGTGGGACGGGATTTTAAAACGTTGCATAAATGATGTTGGAGGACGTTTATGCGCAAGTTGAATTCCTCGTATGTTGATAATTAATCCCGTAGTCCCATACTTGAGACCTTTGTCTAACCGGAGAAAACCTCAAGCAGACCATTGTTTATACTATAAAGGTAACTCATCCTGGGGTATCTCATTGGTATTTAATAAACTGACATATATGACTGTTACCGGCCCCCGCTCGTCCAATTTTCCATGGATTTGTAAACTCTAATCTTATGGACGTGCAAGATTTGAATACAAAATTATAACAATAAAAAATGCAAAAAGCACAATGATTAGTTTCTCCTCAAGATTTTTTGGTTTAAGATTCCGATCCATCCCGATCATAGTAGGTGAATCTCTTAGAGCTCGAAAAGGCCACAAGTAATAAGAAAATAAAGTTGTGCAATCACTAATGAACGTTTAGTCTAGGGGGCAGATGTTTTACCTTACTCGGATTGTGTAAAGTTGTGCCCTACCGTTGCGGGAATTCTGTAGCTGACAAGAACTCTAGAATTCAAATGCGTTAGGTGTGACGCTTAGAGGAATCAAAGTCAAAATCAAAGTTAAAAAATTGTTTGAAGCATTGCATATTAGAATTTAGAGATTTAAACCGACGTTATTCGACATATCCTTTGTTAAGCATGGTTTACTGTCAGATTCTCGAATTTGGTTCATCTGCAATAAAACTACACTGCATTCTATTTATTTGACATTAAAAAAACCACATGATATAGAAATTTAATGCATACCCAAATATCATAACCTCATTTGAAGGTAGAAGGATAGGAAATGGGTAATCAACTCGACTAATTTTAACCTCCTTTACCGCATTAGTTTAAAATTTGTTAAGGTAGTGAGTGGATCATACAATCCAGGCTTTAATAACCAAATGTAATATAACTGCTTATGTCCGGTGCATAATTTTAACGCATTTAATCTAAAAGCTAAGTTTGTGTACGAAAATTTCTCTTTTCCACCTCTTTATTTTACCCCCCACACCCATCATGAAAGAATGCAAGTCATTAAGACTTAACTGACAAAGCTATATTTCTGACATAAATACAGAGGAGAGAAGTGCGCATCATCCAAGTAACAAGGAGTCATGTCTATTATCCAAATACACCACCAAACATAACGCCCTTACTCAGTCATGACTAACGCTTGTAACTGCCTCCATCCCTTTTGTTTCATTGACTGTCACCACCCTCTCCTTTATCAGATGATTCATCTTCCAACTTTCTTTTCTTTTTCGTCTCATTTCCCTTTCCCTTTGACACTGCCGCTTTCTTCCCAGCATTCTTCTTCCTGAACTCTGTTGGGCAACGAAGAAAAAGTGTTTTAAGGTCCGCTAAAGGCTACAAAGACAAAGTGAATGAATTCTTCCAAAACAAACTATTAGTCAAATCAAAACAATTACATATATCTTCTGGAATTCAACCCAAAAGTTTAGAGCTCTTGGGTGAAGAAGGTATTTTTAATAGTTTATATTATTCTCTAACACACCTCCTCACACAAGAGTTATTTGGGCTCACACAAGAGTCATTTGGGCTTGAAGCATGGATATTGCACAGTCTCCCAATTTTTTATGCTTATTTAATTTCACGAAAAAGTAGGAGGCAATGAGGATCCAACTTGTGACCTAGTGGTTACTGAGGCTCTTATATCATGTAAAAAACTAATTCAACTCTGAAAGCTTAAACTGTTGGATAAGGGCTTTTTTAATGGTTTATATTATTATGTAACATTTTCTTTTTTAACATTAAGAAAATTAATAAATTTTCTTAAGACTGATTACTGATGCAAAAGATTACAGAGACAGAGTAGTGTCTTAATCTTATATGTTTAAAAAATGTACTCCTCTCTTACTATCCATACGTACCTCAATATGAATAAAATAACAGATCCTCCCATTACTCTCTATAACTTTGAACCAAATATTACCCACTATAACACTTTGGATACTCCTAGCTACTTTTTACAATCTTTATACTTTTATTTTTTAAACTTTTACAGTTGAGATAAATGATATTTTTTTTTATTATGTCTAAAATTAAACATGCTAATTTTCAAAACATAACTCCACAGGAACTTGACAAGTTACTGAAAGATAAATCATGGCTAGTCTGAAAAAAGTAGCTTCATCTTTGCCATCAAGTCAACATTGTAAGACAGAAAACAAAAACTGACCTTCAAGAGAAGCTTTTAGAGGACGAACAAACTCAGAGAACTCAGTTTCTTCAAGAGCTTTGAAAACATCTTCAGCATTGATAATCTGCCTCTTTGATTCCTTACATATGTCATTAGCCCTGCACATCATCACATACAACATCAATCACTGTTCTGCTTCTTCTACCTCAAAAAGTTTCCATTTTTAATCCTCCTACAGTTTAACTTTATCTATTGAATCAATCATCGAACACAATGCACTGACAAAATTTCCTGATTGCCTCCAAAATCTGAATCCTACTTTTTCTAATTAACCAAACAGAGGGAAAAGGGATTGAAACTTCAAATTCAGAATGTTGAGTGTGAAATTTTGAGAAATTAGGGTTAAATAAGATGGTATCGTGGGCTTACGTTGCAGAAAGGTAGTGTATGAAGATCCTAGCGCTTTCGGAGAATGCGAGAAGAGCGTCTTTGTGGACGGAAATGTCTCCGTCGTCGGAGAAACGGGAGAGCTTATCCTTCACCACGCGGCGCACGATAGTCCTGGGCAATTCCTCCGCCTCTGACATTTTCTAGTTCTCTGCAACCAAACCCTAATCTTCGATTTCGATTTCGATTTGGAATTGGGAATTAGGGTTAGGGTTTCTCTGTATCTATCCGGCTAGGCTTTTTTTCCCGCCATTATTATCATTACACTTTCATATAGTTTGGGCTTTCTCGTCCCTCCAATCAAAGGCCCAATCTTTTCCCCTCGGCCTGACCTAAAATTTAATTAGAGAGAGCTTCACCAGTGACTTATTCTCCTTTCGTAAGAACCATGGTTTTTAATTTTTTTTTTTTTTTTTGAAAATGATTTTTAACATGGCAAATTAGCAATTACCACGGTCTGAGCAATTGTGTATCACTGTATCATACTCAAGGAGTAGAGCAGTTCTGTTTTTATTTTTTATGAATCCACAGGTACTCCTTTATCTGTCTGTTTGGATTTTTATTTTTTAAGTTAGAAGCTAATTATAAGTATAAGTTAGGTCAATTAGATTTTAATAAAAAATTCTTGTAATGAAAAATTCTTTTCTTATAATGAAAAAGAAGAAGATAAAAGCTAAAAGATTATATGAAGAGCTCTTTTTTTAACTCTTATATGCTTTTCTTGAATTGTGTGTTTTTTTAAATGAAAAACTATAGAGATAGAGAAAGAAAGAAATAGTTTTCTTGAAATATGTATTTTAAGCTAAATTTTTTATATAATTATCAAATAGTTTTTTGTTTTTTTAAGCTCTTTTTTTTATTTTTATTTTAGCTTATAATTTAAAAAAGAGAGGATCCAAAATGTTCTAATCCTCTTGAGGAGAAGAGATTATCAAAGTAGGTATACCAATAAAAAATTTTCCATACATAAATCAGTAATCGAATTCAATATAATTAAGGGATTTAATTATCTACCAATTATGTCGGATTTTGTTCGCAGAGCAATTCTATTTTTAAAAATAATTTTATTGAAAGTCATCTCATTTAGCGTTCAACTCTTTTTTGTTTAAAAAACTAAATAAATAAAGGGAAAATTATTTATCCTTCTAATTGACACAACTTATATTCTTTCACTCTCACAAAAAGGTGGGATCCACACCTTTATATTTTTTTTTCAACTCTCTTTCCTCATTTATCTATCTTTTTCACTCTCTTAAAATAACATAACTTTACATCCTTTATAATGACACACATTTTTCTCATAAATAAACCCCATCATATTATCTCAGTTAAAATAATTTCATTTTATAAGGGGTGACTCTTTTCATTTATCAATGGATCCGTCTAGAGGTGGCAAAGTGGGCGCCCCACCTCGCCATTAATCCGCCAAAAAACGAGTCAGCCCGTCCCGTCCCGCTTTTGAAAGTGGGCTGAAAAACTCAGCCCGCCCGCCTCGTTTGGCGGGTTAGCCCTCCAGCTCGAGCCTATTTTACACTGACTCGCCTTGACCCGTCTATGCCCGCCATCAACCCGCCCTGCCCCGCCCCGTTTTTGAGATGAGTTGAAAAACTCAGCCCGCCTCGTTCCGTTTGACGGGTTGGGCGGGTTGCCTGCCGAGCGAGCCCGTTTTGCCGGCTCTAGATCCGTATAATGAATAGCATTTTTATATTAAAAAAACTAGGTGTATCAATCGGTAACGTATGTTGAAATTTTGACATGAATCCAAAATAATATATAAATCTTGAAATTATATTTGTTTCATATCAAATCCATTTCAAATGATAAAAAAATATTTAAGCCCTTACTTTTTAAATTCAACATTTATAATCAAATATTATTTGACATATTCAAAATAATTATTCTTATCTCCGATTATTGATATAAAAGTTCATAATACAACAATATAAGCGATCAAATAAAACATAAAAAGTTTATTTCCTGTGCATAATAATAAAAATAAAAATAATAAAATTTTGTCACCGTAATCAGGAATCGAAATGAGTTCTAAACTTGAGGAAGAGTCATCGAGAAATCTACGTAAAGAAATTGGATCATCATTATCACAATATGCCCAAAGGCATCATGGCACTTTTTTTTTAATTAAAAGTTATTTCTAAATTAAAAATAAAAAATAAAAAAAAAGCTACAAACTGTTTGATAATTATATAAAATTTTTAGCTTAAAAATTACTTAAAAGATGTTCATTTAAAAAAATACACATTTTAACAAAAACTGATACAACTTAAAAAAAGGTCTCCCTAGAGCTTTTGTTTTTTTTTATTATAAAAAAAACTCTTTTTATTATAAGAGCTTTTTTAAAAATTTATTTTATCTAACTTTTACTTATAAGGAGAACATAAGCTAAAAATAAGAGTTCCTAAACAGGCATTAAAGATAATATACTCATTCCTTTTTCTCTTTTTTTTTTTATTTTTTTTTATTTTGGGGTCCATTGTAGGAAATAATAATAAAAGAAAAAAACCTAGCTTAGCTAATATTATAATACGATAAAAAAAAAGATTGAGTTGTGTAGGAATATTTTTCTATACATCAAATGTACCTAATTAGATACATTTTTTTTACAAAGAGAAAAGAAAAGAAAAGAAAAGTTTTCTTTCCATTTAAATCCACACTTTCATTTTTATTTCATCTCTATCTCAATTTTTTTAATTTTTTTAGACAGATGACGGTGCATCGGTAGCACCAAAGGTTTGCTCAATTGTGTGAACTCATTTACTGTGAGGTCAATCATTTCTCTTGGAAACATGAAGATATTATAATTTTTTATTTTTAGAAATATTTCAATCAGTTCATCACTTTATGATTAGTTCGATTTAAGATGAATTTTGAGATTAAGACTTCAAACTCTTCTAAACAATGATACTGAAAAAAAAATTAAAGAGATACTCTTACTGCCACTTACTCAATTCCCTAACCCGAGCCATTTGCTATACGGAGAGATTATTTAACAATGGAGCAATTGAATTTCTTGTTATGCCATGTCTGAGAAAGAACTACTACACTATTTCATCTTGCATATCACCTAACCAACAGTAGAAATTTGTGAGTAAACTTTGAGAAATAAATTTGTTTTAAATATTGAAATTATCAGAGAATAATATTTCTTTTTTTCTCGATCAAGAACGCTTTACTATAAGGGGGCGTTTGGTTGAGGTTATACTTTTATTATCCCATGCATCTGGTTTTGAGATTCTTGGACGTTCATGTTTGGTTAAGGTTTTTTAAAAATTTCTCCATCTAACAGATTTCTCCAGCGTTTGAAGAGTGCGTGCGTGTAAAATGGAGAAAATTTCACTGTTCCGAATGACCACTTCGATGGTGGTTTTTGTAATTGCATGGGTAAATGACAAGGGGGACAACTAGATGGAGACGAAAATACCCAAACCTAGCACAGCTGTTTACATATCTGCAATTAAATAAGTTGTTTGGTTCTTAAAAATTGTGTTGGGTCAAACTGAAGATATTATACAAATGCATTCGTGTAATATCCCCATTTCCACTTCCTCTGATGTGGGTATACACGAAGGTAGTGACAGTGAAAGATAGGGACTTTTATTTGTAAAGATATAATAAATTAAATAAGCATGTATGCATGTAGGACTTAACTATATATAAGTGAAGTTAGGAGTTCATGCCAGACATTTCAGTACAGGAGGTAGAGTGAAGCCACACTGTTAGTGAGCCTAGTGTAGTCAATGATGCTGATGTAGCCACAGGTTTGAAAATTCTTGATGAAAGTCAACAGGACCAATTTTGGTACTAGTGTAGTAGCCAGGTGAAGGTGGACCCTGAGAACTAAAACAACAAATCATAAGTCAGGATATAAGATAGATGAGAGGAACCATATGGTGGAAAATGGCTCGTCATGATGATGGTCATTTGAGTACATACAATGACAGTGAATAAATTTGTCTCCATAATTTTTAAGAGCTTCTGTTATCCTTCCGTACCTTGATAATGTGGATTAGAGGTAGTTCTTTGATCGTAGTGTAAAGGGTTTGTGAGTCTTCTAGGGAGGGTTCAAACATTGATAACATCTTCGTTTTTCAGGATGACTATCCAGTCATTAAAAGTCTAGATGTACAATATTAACCACATATGGTATATATATTTAGCATGTACATTTGTAGTCTCTGGAATTGAGTGAGATAAAAAAATACAAACATGTTATATTCGAGTTATTTTTACCTCTGGAATTGGGTTATTTTTACCTCATGCAAACATGTAAAGATACAACTATGTTTACCTCAAATTTGTTAATGGTTTCCTTGGTGACATTTATTTGGTTTGGTGTGAAAATCTAACAGAGATTGCATGCCATAACTTGTGACATTTAATTAATTGATCACTGATTGAACCAATTAAATTATTTGGTTGTTTTTTAGTTCTTACTCTTATTGTATTGGTTCTTGTGAAAAGGGTATGGGGACTAATGAAATCTCAGTTTAGCAAATTGTAAAGGACTATATGGCAGCCATGTACTATGACTTTGTGCAAAATTTGTATCATGTTTGAGCAATTTCATGTCATTGAGATATATATTGGTGAAAGATAATAAAGGTTTTAATAGAGTTCAGCATGAGCATGAATGAGGATCCAGTTCGTGAGTGGATTCTTTATGAGGGTAAAGCTACAAAGATAACCAAAATTACTCCTGTTGGTGGTGGTTGTATCAATCTTGCTACTCGCTATGACACTGGCACTGGTTCTTTCTTTGTTAAAACGAACTGGTATGACACATGCATCATGCTGTTTTTCGTTTGATGATTGAGCTGCCTTTTGGGGTTGATATCAATGAACTGAGTTACAAGTTTTATTATGAATTGATTGGACTCGTACTTTGCAGATGGGAAACTCCAAGAACATGCAACTGAACTGATATCTGTTAATCAGTTAGAATGTATCTGTTATCTGCAAGTCTGTTTTCTGTTCATCATGATGTTCACATCGACTTGAACATTACTAGAAGAACTATGATCATGCTGTTGTGGTCAACTAAGGTTTCACCAGAACATTTGGCTTTTTTGCAAGCATTCAATACTGGAGATCATGCCACCACATATGCTGCCATGAAGAATGCAGACATGAACCCATTTGCCTTTTTTTTTTTTTTGGTTTAAAATTGCATGATGTATTGTAAATGTTGTGAGTTCATTGAACATAAGCTAGGTATCCCTGTAGCCACCTTTTAAAGACACATTGATAAAGAACAAACTGTAAAATAATGCCTTGGATGCACTTGCATGCCATTGACCTCATTGTTGTAGGATCTTCTATTTTTCTTTCTTTCCCTAGTGATCATGATATAAAATGTGGTGTTGAAAGTATCAAGTGTATATGGACTTGACAGTTATTTGCAAAAATGATTCTTCAATTCATAATCTTTGAATGTGTAACTTTTCTCGTAGCACTATTGATTACATTCAGTGACTGTGTTTTGTATGAAATTTATCTCTCTTTTGTGTCTCTGTAACCCACACAACCGATTGTATGAAATTTATCCGTAAAAAATTTGATACCGAGCATTAAAATTTTTTCAATGAGTCAAACGTGCACAAAAGACATAGAACGAGCTTGGGAGGAGACAAACTTAGGCTATATGGAACGAGCTTGGGAGGAGACAAACATATGAATTTATTTTATGTTGATAAATAAACAATTTTGATATCAGCTTGTGCTGCTGCCGTTGCATCATAACAGGGTATTTAAAGTAAAGGGTACGTGATTCAAAAAAATTTAAAAACAGAGATATTTTCGTAATTGCCATTTATTTTTCCATCTATATTTTACCTCAAACCAAACATAGACTTTGTAAATCTTACCTAATTTTCCCTGTAAATTTTTTTACAATCAAACAACTTTTTTTATATTTTCCTACCAAATTCACTTTCCAACCATTTCTCTATTAATTACATTTTTCTAGTATTCAAAATTTTTTTCCTCAACCAAACGCCCCCTAAGTTTATACAGAAACACAATCCTAACGTAAATCCCCTTTCGTTTATGTCAACAAAACTTAATCAAACAAAAATTTGTAATATAATTATTCAATGCCCCATATATAATACATCCCGGGTGAGCTTTGCTTGAGTGTATTAAATTATTCAAGAATTCTCATTTTAACATATAATCAAGTGATTGCAAGAAATCTATCTTACAAATAATTTTCATAACTTACAATTTCCCTTCTCTGAATTTAAATCCCCCCACTCAATCATGATTCAAAATGCAATTGATTAAATTAAATAATTGACATAGAAAAGGATCACAAGCTCAGTTCATAGGCGCGAGGTCATTTTGATTTTTGATAGCTTAAGGTTTTCCCATCCATACGGCACAAGTGCACAAAGAGCTATAAAGTGGGGACACACCATTTTAATGGAGCACATTAGAGACATCACTTATCACATTTAAATGCCAGGCGAAGGTGCTTATCATCTTAATATCACAGTGCTTGCTTGCACAAACAAAAATTCATTATCCCAAATAACTAAAAATCCCAAAAGAAAGACTGATTCTAAAGCAGAACAAGCAAAATAGCTGCAAAGTCTACCTTAAACTACCAGTTTCCTCAAGCAATGGTTTAACTTTCAGACCAGCATTTCTCAGTAGAGTTCTCCTTCCTGGTGAGTTTCAATTACACAGTCTGAAGTTGGATAGGAGACACAGGTAAGCAGATAGCCTGCCTTCAGTTGATTGTCATCCAAGAATGAGCCATCAGACTGATCCACTGAACCAGAAACAATCTTCCCAGCACAGGTAGAGCATGCTCCGGCACGGCACGAATAAGGAAGTTCAATTCCAGCATTCTCTGCTGCATCTAAGATGTAGGTATCATCAGGTGCCTCAAACTCATTCTCTTTTCCATCTGGGCCAATCAGCTTAACCTTGTAAGCAGCCATGGCAGTAGCTCTGAATGAAGAGGATGACTTCAAGCCAAATGATCTGAAAACACTCTTCACAGACCCAAGAGATGAACGGCACTTCACTGTGGTAGCAACAGTGGATTGATTTTGGCTTGGAGTTTGAAACAAGCAAAGGGGGGAAACCTTCACAGTTGACATAGTTGCCATGATTACCCTGAAAATATATCAATATTATAAAATTAATCTTTTACAGAATAATGAGGTTGCCTACTACAAGGTGCAGCAGGAATTAAAATAGGTTTTATATTCTAATGAATAAAAAATTGAGACTCGAAACCGAGTTGGATTTAGTTCAAGTTCAATAAGATTGACATTGTTTGGCAAATACATTCATGCAATAACAATACTCTTCTGAAGAAATTAAAAGAAAAAAATTAACTTGATTATAATTATATGTTGGCCAAAGATTTTACACGAATGATATTTCACCTAGAGTTACATATGACATATGTAATATTTGTCATTGCTGATTAAATCACAGTACAAAATTATGATGCAGGTAACACAAAATCGAGAGTGCAATTAACCATCCATGATATCCACAAAAAATCTTTAGCTTTTTTTATTTTGTATCATTACATCAACAAAACATTGCAAAACACAGCATTTTGTAGAAAAAATTGATAATTTATTCATCTGATTTTTTGCCAACCAATTACAACGTAGTAGCCCACACATTCAACATGCACAAAATGATCGAATGAACATTTACTTCAACACTTCTTTTTGCTAAGTGCCTAAGTTCTTCTCATCTCATTTTGTCTGAAATCTTAATGCTAAGATCCCCATATGTCACTAGTGAAGCTTCAACCATCATCTACTAGGCCAGGGAAAATGCTTGCAGATGAGATTAGTAGAGGTATTGATTTCAAACAACGCAATACCAGAGAAGTGGATTATACCACAGTTGCAACAAAATTATATGTAAGTAAAAGATTTTAATCCAAAAGCAAATTGTAAAATTGACTTCAACCATGTTGAAGAAGGAATTTATGCCGTAAAAATTCACAAAGAATGGAACCAACTCCATTCCTGTTCTATAAAAGGCTCTTGTTATATGGAGCAATATGAGAAGAAGCAAGCTGGTGGCTCTCTGCTCTTCACTCGAGGCTCCAAATTTACAATAAAAAAAACCTAACAAAATGGCCTCATTCTATGCTCAAAGACAATATTCATAAACACTTGTTACGCATAAAACATAATAAACCCTTTCATAACTAGTCTAATGACAGATTCCAAAAGCTCTAGCACTATCACTCAATTGCATCAACAAATAAGTAATGAAATAAATTCAGCACAAAACATAAAGTTCGTTTCTTTGCATGAAAACCTCCTAATGAGATGACAACGCTCGCCAAGCAGCAGTGCTAGAAAGACAAAAAAAAAAAAAAAAAAAAAGCAAACATGTAAATTCATACACACAATTATGTTCCATCTAGTTATCATATCAAACCCCAAACCCCATCAAAGGGGTTTAAAAAAAGATTTTTTTTGTTATTTTGTTATTTTAAAATAAAGAACACCCAAGTTCCTTAAGGATATGAGGAATAGTTGAAGAAGCTGTTTAGTACAAAAATCATGAGATATATAGAAAAAGAGGAGCCCTGATCAAGGTTTGATGGACAGGTATAACTTGCTGAAATAAATTGCACAATCTAACCATCCAAAATAAACAAAGATAAAGATTATAAGAGAGATCGAGAAGAAGAAAAAAAGGATATGGAAAAAGAGAGAGATTTAAAGGGCTTACAGAGAAGATCTTGAAGTTGCTGTTGTTGGTTTGAGATGGAAGCGGAGAAGACGAAGTGATGATTCACGAGAGAGAGAGACAGAGAGAGACGGAGAGAGAAAGAGATATATAAACAAAGTAAGAGAAAGTGATGGCGTTGTTGGCGTTATTATTGGGTATCTGTAGAAAGACGAATGTAATTGCCACCCCTCAGATACCCTATTCGCCGCCCACACCCACCAACAATTTTCTATAAAAATTTTGCTTTTGTTTTTTTCCCAAAAAAAGCCCTTTTAAACAAAAAAAAGAATCACAACATTAATTTGTGATTAATGATATGTAGGTAAGTAATTAATTCATTTTGACAAGTGTAGCAAAAGAGAGGATACTCTTCTCACCAAAAAATTCACTACCTACTTAATGAGTAGGAATTTAGTGGAACAGTGATCATTTTGTCACACTTCAGCAAATTAGCAAATTATTTATCAGACTGTCACGTCAACGGTAAAAATTTTCGGAATGCCACGCGGCATAATTCGCTCCATTGTGCAGCGAATTATGCTTGCAAATAAGTCACTACTATGTCATGTCAGGCTGCATAGTCAGCAAAAATGACAGGTGTCAAGCAGGCAGTAATTTGCTACACTGTGTAGTGAATTATGCTTGTATTGCTGCCTGCTTGACACGTGTCATTTTTGCTGACTGTGCAGCCTGACATGACATATTTCGCTACACTGTGTAGCGACTTATTTGCAAGCATAATTCGCTGAACAGTGGAGCGAATTATGCCGCGTGGCATTCCGAAAATTTTTACTGTTGACGTGACAGTCTGGTAAATAATTTGGTCAGACATGACAAAATGGTCACTGTTTCGAATTTAGTGCTCTCGCAGCACTTTTGATTTGATGGGATGGAGGAAAGAGGAAGAAAGAAAAAGTTGGGAAGAGAGAAGAAAAAATAAAAATTTAATACAAGTGTCATATTCTTACTAGAGGAACCACCAAAGTCCGGGACCATATTAAATTTTTTCCTATTTATTAATTATTGGATCAGAGAAAGAGAGTGCTGAAAACTTAAGTTTCTGAAGAAAGAAAAAATGTTGATCTAATGATGATTAGATAAGTAGTGAATTTTTCTAATAATAAAAAGAGTAAACACCCTTTTTGGTCCCTGACAATATCTACGAAATCCTTTTTAGTCCCTGGCAATAAAAAAGGACCAAATTGATCCCTAACAGTATGTAAAAAGGGCCACGTTAGTGACGGAGGAGTTGACATAAGGACTAACGGTGCCCTTTTTTCATAATTTTAGGGACCAATTTGGTCCTTTTTTATTGCCAGGGACTAAAAAGAATTTCGTAGATATTGCCAGGGACTTAAAATGGTGTTTACTCTAATAAAAATATCTCACTTGTACCTAAAAAGATTTTTTTGACAAATGGTTAATAGGGAAAAATACAGTGCTAGAGCTATTAATGCAGGTCAGTTTCTGTGTACTTGAGTTGGTCCACCACAAATTAGAGGTTAATGTGAATGAAGTTGGGTTAGCCCACTTCACAAGTGGGCTGAAAACATTAACAAGTCCAAGTATTCTTGAAGCATTTGCACTACTCTAAGATATCAAAGAATATTTTTGGCATGAATATCAAAATCCAAGTCCAAAGTTTCATTCCAAGCATGAATATTTTTGGCATGTTTAATTCAACGTCCAATTTTTAATATCAAAGAATAAGTAACAAATTAATTCAAGATTCAAGCACGCTTGCTGTATTTAGCCCTTCAGCTGAAATTTAAATATTTCAGGTCCAAAACCAAGATTAAAATACAAGCTTCACATTAAGTCCAAACTCAAGGTTTCATACGATTTCAATTTTTTAAGATTTAGACTCTTACGGGATTGTTTGGTATAAGAATTTTTCTAGAAATTCTGGAAAGTGGGGTAAGGCAAAATTTTTTCCAATGTTTGATATGAGGAAACAGAAAATATTCCAGGGAAACTTTTTTTCTCATTATTTCAGTTTTAACTACATAATTCCAAACAAAAATACCATATGATATATGGTATTTTTATTTTCTCATAGCATCAATATAATTAACCCAACATTTTTGGAAAAATTTTGGACCTACCAAACACCTTTTCGTAATTTACTAAGGAAAAAAATTCTCACTATATTCTCAAAAATCTTTTTTTCTCAGTAAAAAAAATATATTCTCTGCCAAACAACCCTTACACCAATCTTTAAGGATATATTAGTTACATCTTAGAGATCTACTTGCAATTTTATTTAAGATTAGAGACCATATAGCTTTTTGTTAGAAAAGTTATTAATGGGATAAATAAGTCTCTAACAAAGTTCCTCTCATATTAAGGAAAACTCATTTTTTGTGTCAATATTTTTTGTAATGGGCCCACTTGGTTATATGTGTACGCAGAAAGCTCTCCGTGAGAAAATGCAACCCCAAAATTAATTTGTTAAAAGGGCCTGATATGAATTCTTATACCTACTTTTTATTATCTGAGAGAAAAATTTAATAAATATCTTATTTCAAACTTCTCAGTAAAATGCAACTTATAGTCAAAACCAATTGCAATAGAGAATTTATTTTTTATTACAAATGAATAAGGTGTTACAATTTTGACCGTTAGAGAAAGAGATAAGAAGGGAGAGAGGGGGGATAAGAGAGGTAGAGAGAATATTGTAGGTAAGAGAAATGATATTGTATCAATCAAATTGTGTTACTACCATATTACCACCAATTGTAACACCCCGTTCTAGAACCGGTTTGTTAACATCGCATTATGATATTAAGCGCAGTTACAATCACATGGGTTCAATTAAAATCCGGATAAATTTTTCATTTTAAAACATGCCGAATTTATAATACCCAATTTCGTGATCATAACCGTATTACCTTGCGGAATCAGATAAATTAGGCTTAACATCATGTTCTTATTCCATTTTTAAACCATTAATTTACTTCCTATTTATTTCACAACCTCTACTATATTGTAGATCTCTTCATCAGCTACCCGTGGCTTCAAACCACGCTCAAATCGGAGCACTGTAGCCCAAGTTAGGACAATTTGTAGCAACACAAGAGAATGTTGGTAACAGGCCCCGTGCGCTTCAGCGCGCTACCGGGCGCTCAAGCGCGCGCTATCGGGCGCTAAAGCCTCCATCTGGGCGCTTAAGCGCACGGAGGCAGGAAGCATCAGGTATTTCAGTGTAGATGGGCGCTTAAGCGCGCATCAGGGCGCTCAAGCACGCTATCCTGGGCGCTCAAGCTCCCATTGGGACGTTTTAGCGCGCAGAGACAGAAGCATCTCCCCCTTCAGTGGCTAAGGGCGCTCAAGCGCAGACCAGGGCGCTCAAGCGCGCAACCCTGGGCGCTTAAGCCCCGCCCTGGGCGCTAAAACTCGAGGAGACAGTAAGCATTCCATCTTTCTGCAGCAAAGGGCGCTTAAGCGCAAGCCAGGGCGCTCCAGCGCGCAATCCTGGGCGCTTAAGCCCCCACTTGGGCGCTCCAGTGCGAGGAGGCAGAATGCATTGGCACTCGCAGGGGCAGCAGGGCGCTTGAGTGCGCTCCTGGGCGCTTAAGCGCGCTGCCAGGGAATTCCAATTCCCACTTTCTTCAAGTCCAAGTCTAGGGGAAGATGCATCCTCATTCCAAACCCCAATTGTCTATGCCCCAACACTAAATCCTAGCACTCATCCAACCTCTCGTCATGAGATTTAGCTAGAATTTGGGCAGCATAACCTTTGTTTTCTCGTCGTTTCCCAATTTAAACAAAAGGTACCTAATTGATTCTCAGCCCAACCAATTCAATAACTCAATACAGAACAAGCATGCATATATTGAATTTCAAGTAGGCATCATTTACAATACATATCCATTACAAATCATGGAACTTAGCTTACAAAACACTATGATCATTCCCTTGGCTCCCATCAACAAAAGGTGTAACCAAAGGCATGAGCATAGGCTAAGTTCATCCAATGAATCAAGATATACAAATGACCATGGGCTTTCAAAATAAAATCCTATACATGTCAACTACAAAAGGCATGGATAAACTCATAAGAAATGCCACATTTCATGCATAATCCAGATATGACCACTTGCCACCAGAGGCTCCTGCAGCATCCTTACCTGAAAGGGGGTCCCCACAACACGGGGTGAGATATACGAATATATCCAGTAAACCAGGGGTCCTTGGAGCATCTCTCCACCCCACAGTTCCATATCAGTGTAATAGCAATAACAATAATAATGCAGTAAATACATATCTATGCAAAGTGCAATACATCTCCAGGAGAAATCCCTCGAGCTCTCAAGCTGTCCTAAGGAAACTCAGATGCAAATAGTCCTACTGGCCAGCTAACTACCAAGTATGATTTACGCATCGTCATGCAACATACCACATAGGGAAACACCATCCTATGCCACACCAAATGCATACACATACGTATAACAAAGCATTACACTATTTCATTGCATTTATATACACTATAATCACCACTACCCTTTCAGGGCTTGGTGGAACAATCAAGGGAATTACACCCAAGGTCCGAAGGCTTACCTCAAGCTTCAATTCGACCTTTGTTCACCACCAATGTCAACAATACTCTATTCCAAAACCAACACCTACACATGGTGTAATGCAATCAACACATTGCATCCAAGAGTATTTCACAATCAACCATCAACTACTCAATTCAAAACACTACACAAGTATGAGCTTACCAATTCCAATGAGCTACTCAAGCTCCATAGCTTGCTCAAGCGGTTGATCACTCACGGTCGGTCCAAATGTCTCAATCCTAGACATCATTAGGACACAATCATCAATCAACCAAGCCAAACCATTTATTAACAATGCAAGAAATCCAATATCAAGTGTAACGCCCCGTTCTAGAACCGGTTTGTTAACATCGCATTATGATATTAAGCGCAGTTACAATCACATTGGCTCAATTAAAAATCCGGACAAATTTTTCTTTTTAAAACGACGCCGAATTTAAAATATCCAATTGTGTGATCATAACCATATTACTTTGCGGAATCAGATAAACCAAGCTTAACATCATGTTCTTATTCCATTTTTAAACCATTAATTTACTTCTTATTTATTTCCCAACTTCTACTATGTTGTAGATCTCTTCGTTAGCTACTCGTGGTTTCAAACCGCTCCTCATTTGGAGCCCTGTAGCTCAAGTTATGACAATTTTACTAACTTAGGTGTATG